GTTTATAACCCCAGACTAGGAAAATATACTTAGCCATCCTGAAGAACAGACCCACATTCCAGTTAAGGTTATAATACCTTTACTTCTTTAAATTATTTAGTAAAAAACACACCAGTTCCCAATGTTGTATTACATTTTTACAATGATAATAAAAGACTTTTTTAAAAATGACCATATTATTGTTATTAATAAGTAAAACATAGACAGGTTGGCTATTCCTGCGCTCAATGGGCTAAAGGAACTCAACAGACAGTTGAATGACTGTCCCTAGTTGAAGCATTAGCTCACAGCATAGAGAAATTTCACACACACTGCCTGGTTTCAAATACAATAGCCCAAATCAGTTAATTTGGAAATAACCTAGCTTTTCTGGATTTGTATACACGCAATAAAATGCTGATGAATATTCTTACCTACTAGCAGTAAAAACTCCCTCATAGCCAGCCAAAAAAGAAACAGTTTCTAATAACAGATTATTTTAGAATACGAGTAGTGTGGGTATGCTGTTCCTACAGAATACGTTTAAAAATTATTTCATTAACAGTAAAATTTCTATCAAAATTTAATTTACTATTGAGAATCCAACATGAACTTCCCCTACCCTGTGATATGCATGTATTATCCAAAGACAGTTTTAATTGTTTAAATAACTTTCCTTGCTTTCAACTGAGGAAAGTCCTAGGGTGCAACAAAAACACTGGAAAAAGCTTTGGACTAATTTTATCACTACTAGTAGTTTTGAATAGGAAGATATGTATTTTCCAGATGTAATCAAGTACCTTATCAGCACTGGGTATTACTACTCCCATTTTACAGATAAGAAAATAAAGGCCCAGATAAGGAAATCATTTGCCAAATGTCACAAAATCCACAGAAGAACAGTGTTCCTATTTCCTTGCTTTGGTTCTGAAAGCTAGGAAACAAATATTAGCTATAAAAAGAAATCAAATCCTATCCCCGAATATTTTAAGTCAAAAGAATGTAGGAAGATGGAAAGATAGGTACTAAGAGTAGGTTAAATTATTACTTAACATGGTAGTCTTCAAAATAGTGGAAACAAACTCAAGAAGCAGGAGACTATGATGAGTAATTCAATTTACAACTCAGCAATATTCGCTGGGCAACTACTACTTGTAAAATATTCTGACAGCATATGTGGGGAGATGAATGAACTCTTCCAAACAGGAGCCTCATGTTCTACTCCCAGTGACAACAAATGACAGCTCTCTTATGCCATGAGTGGGTGGCCAGAGAGACTAGGAAAAGGAAGTTTTGCGGAGGCTTGTCACCACTATTAATTTTGAAAGGCTTCTGCATAAGATAAATAACCTTCAACAGATCAGGAAATAAAAGCATGGCCCCAAGTACCGTGGTATTATTTCCTTGCTTAAAATTCATGTTTAAATCTTTGCCTGTGTCCTTTACGAACACCCATAGTAGTTAACACTTTCTTGTGCTAGAGCAACAATCTCTCTTCCAGTTGATCCAAGAGGTCTCTCAGTCCAGGTTCAACCTCTTCAGCTGTTATGACTGCATCACCTGTCTACTCAAATAGAGTGAAAATGGAGGGAGCAACTGAGCCTAGATGATCTTTACTCATGTTGCGTTCTGAATCATGCCCCACTGCCCAGCATTGCCTCTTTTCACATGCCATTTCTTTCACATCATGCTACATGTGCCCTTCTGTTGCAATCATATGCACTGTTGCCTTTTTTTTTTTAATTTGTGCCCATAGTCACGCTGATTTATAGCTTCTTAATGATTACTTTTTTTTCCAAAAATTTCCCCTTGATTTCACTTTTTAACTGTCTTCTAAGTCACACCAAAAATACCATACTCTCCTTCTCAGGGCACTAATATTCCTCTCTCCTCTGAATTCTTTTCAAAAGACTACTTTCCATAAAGCAAATGCTTACAATCTGAAATATACCACGAGACACACATTCCCTGCTTTCCTTATGCAGTGTAGTAAATTACTTTGTGTGGCTTTTCTACCCATAAGTCTTTGTAAACTCCAAGGTGAGATTTTCTATGAGCAAGTGAAGAGCTCCTGATTGCTGAAGGTGTTCACCTGGAATATTTCTGTTGGGAGAGGCACAAAACAATGTTCTGGGAGGTGCCCACTCTCTCTCAGGTGCTTAGAGTTCTGATGCTATAATTGGCTAGTTTGACCACCCTGCGGGCTCTAAAGGAGACCTCCTGGAAGCAGAACTCTCTCTGACTGCTGGTTGAAGAAGATGTGCTGCTGAAAGAGACACGGGCTCCTGAGACACGCATTGCTGGCAAAGAGACGCAAGAGACAAGCATTGCTGAGTGTGACACCAAGGGACCAGCACTGCTGGGAAATAGACTGTGAGAGACTCTTGGCTGAGGGACGGTGGGCTGGGAGAGAGACTGAGCGTTCTTCCTGAACTTGAGTTGTAGCCTGGTGCTTCCCTAATAAACCCTGTAATCTGTGAGTTCTGTGTGGCCACTGCAGTGAACTATCGAACCCAGGAGAGAGGTGGTGGTGCTTTGGGAGGAACGGTTGGTGAAAGGGCTGGAGGGAGGCAGCATGTCTGGCCTTGCAGTAATAGGCCTTGGGTTACTGCTGGTAATCCTGTCTTCCTCTTGTGAGATTAGAGGAGGTCAGAACATGTGGCCTCCTTGCCGTTTTTGCACCTTACAAGAAACAATTCATGTCATTTTCATATTTCAGAGTTTATACATCTTTAGATTCTATTCCTTAAAAAAGAATGTTTGGATAAATTGGACTTCATCAAAATTTAAAACTTTTGTACAAAAGACATTATTAAGAAAGCAAAAACAACCTACAGAGTGGAAGAAATATTTGCAACTTACATATTTGATAGAATACATAAAGACCACTTACAATGCAACAACAAAAGATAAACCCAAATTAAAAATGGGCAGAGGATTTGAAGACATTTTTTCATGACAAATGACTAATAAGCATATGAAGATACTCAGTATCAGAGAAATGCAAATCAAAATCACTAGAAGATACCATTTCACACCCCCTAGGATGGCTATGATAAAAAAGAAAAAAATAAAAAGTAAGTGTTGGAGAAGATGTAGAGAAATAGGAACGCTATACGTTGCTTGTAGGAATGTAAGATGGTTTAGCCACTGTGGAAAAGTAGTTCAGTGGTTCTTCAAAGAGTTAAACGTAGAGTTACCTAAGATGCAACTACTCGTCTCTCTCCATCTAAAGCAAAGAAGAGTGAAGAAAATTAAGAACTCAAGAAACAATTAGTCCAAAGGACTAAGGATTACACAAACCACAGACTTCACTACCCTGACACCAGAAGAATTAGATGGTGCCTGGCTACCACTACCAGCCCTCTCTGACTGGGACCACAATAGAAGGTCCTGGACAGAGTCAAGGCAACCATTGCCGTGGAGTTGGATCCGACCCATAGAGACCCCTCCTTGGGTTTCCAAGGCAGTATCACTACGGAAGTAGATTGCCCAACCTTTCTCCCGGGGAGTGGCCGGTGGGTTTGAACCGCCAGCCTTCTGGTTAGCAGTCAACTGCCTTACGCACTACGTTACCAGAGCTCCTGTACAGAGTGTGTGTGGGGGGGAAGTTGAACAAAACTCACAATCATAAAAAGCCCAGACTTACTGGTCTGATAGAGACTGGTGGAACCCCTGAGACTGTGGTCTTTAGACATCCTTCAAGCCCGGGGTTCAACTTTCAGCCAAACAATAAAAAGACTTATAAAATGAGCAATAATACCAGGGAAGAACATACTCCAGAATAATCAACCATACAAGACCAAAAGGGCAATACATGCCCCAAAACAAAGCTCAGAAGGCAGGCAGGGGCAGGAAAAGAAGGACACACAGAAACAGGGAATACTGGGAGGAAGTGGGAAGAGTGATGTTACATTGTCGGGATTGCAACCAATGTCATGAAACAAAATATGTATAAATTGTTGAATGGAAAACTAATTTGTTCTGTAAACTTTCACTCAAACCACATTAAAAGATTTTTTAAGAAAAGGTGGATAGTCTAAATGTCTATCAACTGATATGGATAATTAAAATGTGATATAAACATATAATGGAATATCTCAGCCATAAAAAGAAAGTAGTGATACATGCTACAAATGGATGAACCCAAACATTTTAAGCTAAGAAGTCAGTCATGAAAAACCACATTATATACTGTGTGATGCCACTTACATGAAATAAATGTTCAGAATAGGAAATTTCATGGAGAAAGAACAAAGACCGGTGGTTGCCAGCAGCTGGGGGACTGAGGAATAGGAAGCAACTGCTTAATGGTCTAAGAATTTTCTACTGAAATGATGAAAATGCTTTGGAACTAGATGGTGGTAGTTGTACAACACTGTGATGTACTAATGCCAATGAACTGTTCATTTAAGATGATGAATTTTATATTATTTGAATTTCACCTCAATAAAAAAATTAAATAAAAAAATATTTGCACTATTACTATTTTCAGAAGTATTTTAAATTTGTCATAGTATTTATGACATATCATTACATAGTATTTTAAACATGGAAGTATTTTTAAACACATCCATATTTTATACCTGCCCTTAGGCTAGCAGGTAATACCCCAGTTTTCACTATCATGCATCCTGAATGATGCCATAAAAATCTAAGTTGTTCCTCTGAGGCCTCGTGACTTAGAAAGCAACTTAAAAAGGAAAAAGTCTAGAAGTAGCACGAACAAAGTAAAAAACAGGTGGGAAGGAAAATTAAGTTTAGAAGCAGCAGCATATTCAGAAGTTAAGAGGCCTAAAGAAATAGACTGCTCTGAAAACTTACTAGAAAAGAAATGTGAAAGTGCAAAAATGAGCAAAAACAAGAAGAGGTCATCAACAGACAGGCGGGAATGGAAAGGAGAGTGAGGCAATCCTTTCCCCAAAGATGGAGGAAACAAGCCCTGAAAGGATCTACAGCACATGAAGCCACATATCCAGGACCCAGGAAAAAGCTCATGCTCCCCCAGACAACACACTTACCGTGTTGCATTTTGTACCACACACCACTTGCCTATGATTCAGCCACTGAGATGCAAACACTTTATTAAGGGTCCCAAGGTGAAACTCTCTCTCCTTCAGGAGACTGGGAAGTTGCTGTGCTGCATAACCATGCAACACTCGAGAGTAGCTGGTCTCACTCTGTAGCTTGACTTCCCGGCTCTTCAGGTAATACACTAAGGACCTCTTCACTGGAGGGAGTCTTTTCCTTTTGTGAAATGCGTGATCCCAGCCAAACTGTGGAAAGCAAATTAGAAATCAGGGCTGTAGCTACTTTTCTTCAGAACAAGGGAGTCTATGGTACCAGGGAAATCACCAAGAACTCATCCTGTGGGCTATACACACAGAAACAAAATACATAAGAATCTCAATCCAGAAAGTTGTTTAATCCTTCCAACGTTGAAAAGATGCTGCTCATAGTCAAACCTACCTGTGTGAATCACAAAGTCTACAAGGGAATAAAAGCAGAAAAGAATAGGGCATAAGGTTTCCTAGATCATTTAGGAGTGAAGGATTCAGACACCCCATAGCTATCCTTGATATGGAAGGGAATGAGGGGTCCAGCGACTCCCGTAACAACCTGGGCTACAACTCTACCCAGCCCTCTCAGCTCGCACTCCCCACGGGCCCTTTAGAGGGGAACCCAAGAAGCCAGAATGGGGTCCTAGGTCTTCCAGGGTTGCACTATCAATGGCCGCTCCCCTGCCGCCGCGCCCGCGCTCCAGTCAGTTGCAGAATTCGAAAAATCAAACATAAATCTGGTGGAGAGCACAGAAAATAAAAGCCTAAATCTGCGCCCAACGAGGTCTTTCCTTCCAAAGGGGGTAGTATAGAGATAATACCCGGGAATCGCAGTTTCTTCTAGCGGTCCGAGTGGCAAAAGGCCCAAACTCATTGCTTGGGTATCCATAGAAACAATCTTTCCTCGATGAGATACGAGTCCTCCCAGCTTCCCCAGGCCCCTGGAAGGCAGACTTCATTCTCCAGCCCTGTATCTCCTAGGATTTGCTCCCGATTCCCTTCTATTACGGTTTTCCCTTTCTCCAAGCTCCATTCCCAGCTGCAGCCTCCAGCGGAGACCCCACTGCCATGCTGCCCTCCGGCTCCTCACTCCTCCAGCCTCTATGCTTTCCAGTAAACTCCTGTGGGTCCATTCCTCACTCTATAGGCCCGGGCCCGTTCCTGTCCCCTAATCAGCGAACCATAACCCCCATTTGGTGCCTCGACCTCAACGTCCAAATCCCAGCCCTTACCTGCTGACCCTGAGCGTCGCTCCCAGCTCCCGGCGAGGCGGGCGCTTTCCGCTTCCTGCTAACTGCTTTCCGGGCCATGGTGGGCAGCGCCGCCGCGGCCCCGCAGCCACATGGGGCGGGGGAAGCGAGCGGCAGCAGAACGGCGGGTCATATACTGGGCCCTGGGGCTGCGCACCGTAGCGCGCCCGGCCCAGAACGTGGCCCGGACCTGGGGTGGCAGGTAGAAAAAGGGTAGGCGGACAGGAGTGTAGAAGAGAAGGAAAAATCGGGGCCGGGGAAGGGAAAAGGAAGGGGAAGGGGAGGCCGGAACAAGAAGCTTACAGTCGACCGAGTAGGGACAGGACGGCAAGCAGCTAGAACCAAAACACCCCCTCCCCCTCCCTCGCGCGCCGTCACCCTTGCGCAGCCGCACTTCGCAGCGCGTTTCCAAGGTGACACAGCAGGACCGGAGGGGGGCAGGGTTTAGAGCCTGGAGGAAAATTCGCCGCAATTGCGTAGTTGCTGTCCACTCCAACGGGTGTCTGGTAGCAGCTGGGGGTGGGCGATCTGAGGCCAAGGAAGTCGGGCTTATGGGCCGCCACCTTGAACTCCAATCTCTCAGAGCTAGGCACCTGGCAGTGAGGACGACCATCTCTGCTCCGGGAAGGAATTTCTCCCAGCAAACACCTTTATTCGGGAGTCCCCACCGGGTACTTCCCATGCTGTGCGGGCCCCCGAACCTATCACAAGCCTTGCCTGTTTCAATGGGTCAGACGCTGTGGCGAACGGCAGAAAACCGCCTCCCTCTCAGAATAGTGTCGGGCTTGGACACCACCTACTTTCCCAACGCAGAGAACCCGCCCATTTGAACCTGCCTTGGCCGCCTTCTCCCCACCCTTGGTGACCCGCAGGCTCCATTCTCCACCCCTCCTTTTACCCCTCATTCCTTCGTTTCGTTTGATCCTTTCTCTCTAGCCGCAACTGCCCCTTAAAGTGACCTCGCCTCCTTTGAATTCCTTTGACCTACTGTCCAGGCTACACTTCCTCTTGTGCTTCATGAAATAGGCTTCAGGCTATAATTTAGGTTTCTTATGTCTCCCATGCCGTCCTAAACTGGAGAGGAGACAGGGATGGTCACTGCCTGCCTCTCCCTCATTGGTCTCCTTCAGGGCAGGTTGAACCGTAGGAAAGAAGAGTGGCCATTTTTGGTTTGTCATTGTGGACTGACAATAGTCATTATCCAAATAAGGGGATTTATTCAGGATCATCCTTGCTTCCATTTTCAGAAGATCCTGTAGAAATCTGAATGTCAGCCACCACTTTTCTTAGGCAAAGAAAACTTTGGAGGAAGCAGAATGCTCTTGTTTGGGGCTGACCCGCCTCAGACTACAGTGCCCAGTTATCTGCTGGTCCTTTCAAGCTACAGGCCTCATACCTCCAATAAGCTTTGTTGGTCCATCCGATGTTCTATCTACAAGGGGATTTGGTTTTGTTTTCCAAGCTGAACCAAATACCAGATTGAGATAGGGTCCTCCACCATGCCAAGCTGGCAGTGCCATTAACGCCTAATTCCACCTTGAGAAAGGCAGCCCCATCTTGTTCAAGTTTGTCCCCTGAGAGATATGTACACAGTGAATGGGGTCAGGAATAAGTCAGCTTCCTTTTTCAGCCTGGTCTAGTTCTGTCTTGCCTCACAATGCCCTAAATGACCCAGGAGACCATTGGGCAAGAGTCTGGAATTCCTTTAAGAATCCCCAGGATAGGGCTGGGTTAGGCTACATTTGGATCTTGATCTCCTCTGTACACTGGACACTGGTGGAGGGCCATTTTTGAGATCAGTGCTTCATCTTGACACTTAGAGATCCTGTATCCTGGGAACTATCCATGAGTGCACCTCCCAGCAGATCTCATAATATCTGTGGGAATAGAATGAAGGCTGTTTTGGTTACTTTGTGGTACTCCAACAGAAATACCAGAAATGGGATGGTTTTCACAAACAGAAGTTTATTCTCTTACAGTTTTGGAAGCTAGAAGTCTGAGTTCAAAGTGCCAGGTTCTAGGGACTAGGTGAAAGCCCCTTGACCTTGGGCTTCAGCTCTGCCTCTTGCTCCCGGCCCACTGAAGCTGGAGGCTTTCTTCACTCAGGCAGCAGCAGGCTGCTGAGGCTGACAAAGTCAAGGTCGACAAGTAGGCACAGTCGCGGTATTGCCAAACCACACAGCAGGTCATTGACTCAAGTCCATTAAGAGTCCCAAGATTGGCAGGCAGCATGGCAGGCTGCTGAATAATGATTTGGCTACATGCAGGATTCAAGCGTGCCAAAAGCTACAACCATTGCTACAGCTTCACCTTATATACTAGGAGCAGACCATATCCCTAAGGCTACTCAGCTGCTCACAGTGGATTCCACCATTGAGTTGATACGAGTCTCATCATGGGGACCTCATCATGGGGATCATCAAGCCACCCAGCCACTTAAAACCAGGCCCAGCCAAGTTGACACATAACCTTAACTACCACAAAAGTCCATTTGGAAGTTTAATAGTTCACAATTGCTTTAAAAAGACAGCCAACACCAAGTATTGGCAAGGTGTTACAATGACCAGAACTCACACATATTGCTAGTTGTTGTTAGGTGCTGTTGAGTTGGCTCTGACTCATAGCCACTCTACATACAACAGAACAAAACACTCCCTGGTCCTGTGCCATCCTCACAATCCATGCTATACCTGAGCCCATTGTTGCAGTCAATCCATCTCATTGAGGGCCTTCCCCTTTTTCTCTGACCCTCCACTTTACCAAGCATGATATCCTTCTCCAGCGGATGGTCCCTGGTGACAGCGTGACCAAAATAGGTGACACAAAGTATGGCCATGCTTGTTTCCAAGGAGCATACCAGCTGCACTTCTTCCAGGACAGATTTGTTAATTCTTTTGGCAGTCCATAGTACTTTCAATATTCTTCACCAACACTATAACTCAAAATCATCAAATCTTCTTTGGTTTTCTTTATTCATTTGTCCAGCTCTCACATGCATATGAGGCATTGAAAATACTATGGCTTGGGTTAGGCGCACCAAAGTCTTCACAGAGACATCCTTGTTCTTCAGCACTTGAAAGAGATCTTTTGCAGCAGATTTGCCCAGTGTAGTATGTCGTCTGATGCCTTGAGTGCTGCTTCCAATGGTGATGATTGTGGAACCAAGTATGAAATCTTTGACAACTTCAGTCTTTTCTCCATTTATTGTGATGCTGCTTCTTGGTCCAGTGTGAAGATTTTCATTTTCTTTATGTTGAGATGGAATCCATACTGTAGACTGAAGTCTTCAGTCTTCATCAGTAAGTGCTTCAAGTCATCCTCACTTTCAGCAAGCAAAGTTGTGTCATCTGCATATTGCAGATTATTAACGAGCCTTCCTCCAATCCTGATGCCACATTCTTCTTCATATAGTCCAGCTTCTCAGATTATTTGCTCAGCATACAGATTGAATAAGAATGATGAAAGGATACAACCCTGATGCATTCCCTTCCTGATTTTAAATCATGCAGCATCCCCTCATACTGTTTGAACAAGAGCTTCCTTGTCTATGTACAGGTTCTCCATGAGCACAAATAAGTGTTCTGGAATTCCCATTCTTCTCAATGTTATCCATAATTTGTTGTGATCCACACAGTTGAATACCTTTGCATAGTCAATAAAACATAAGTAAATATCCTCTCCAGCGTTATTTCTATCACCAACTATTGGTGATTTTTCCTTGTTTCTAACTTTTGCATTACAATCACCAGTGATAATCAACACATCTTGATTGCATGTATGGTCAATTTCAGATTGCAGAAATTGGTTGAAATCTTGAATTTCCTCATCTTTGGCTTTGGTGGTTGGTGCATAAATTAGAATAATAGTCGTATTAACTGGTCTTCCTTGTAGGCATATGGGTATTAACCTATCACTGACAGCATTTACTTCAGGATAGATTTTTTAAAATGCATTTTATTAAAATATATTTTATGTACAGTGAAATACACAAAACTAAAGTGACATAGGTCAAT